CCCCCCCCCCCCCCGAAGGCGGGGGGGGCGGCCGGCTGCGAGCGCAGGGCGGCGCAGGGGAACCTCTGTCCCCCTCGCCCCGCCGGCGCTGCGTCCCTGAGCTGCCCCGTGCTTCCCCCGCAGGCCTTGGGGGGCGGGTACCTCCACTGGGGCCACTTCGAGATGATCCGCCTGACCATCGGCCGCGGCATGGACCCCAAGAGCATGTTCGCCATCTGGCGCGTGCCGGCTCCCTCCAAACCGGTGACGCGGAAGAGCTTGGGACACCGCATGGGGGGCGGCAAGGGCCCCATCGATCACTACGTGACGGCGGTGAAGAGCGGGCGTTTGGTGGTGGAGGTAGGCGGGCGCTGCGAGTTTGGGGAGGTGGAACCCTTCCTGACGCAGGTGGCCAGGAAACTGCCCTTCCCCGCCGTCGCCGTCAGCCGCGACAGCCTCCAGCAGATGCGGCAGGGGGGAGAGGAGAAGAAACTCAACAACCAAAACCCCTGGACCTTCGAACGCGTCGTCACCGCCAACATGCTGGGGATGCGCAAGTACCTCAGCCCCTACGACCTGCGGCTGAAGGGACGCTACTGGGGCAAATTCTTCCTGAAACACAGGGTGTAACGAGCAGCTGGGGAGGGGGATGCCTTAATTAAACCTTCCCACGAGAATCTGCTGTGGTTTTTGGAGGCGCAAACACGGGGGACGGGAGCAGCCCGGAGGTGATGAATGCATCGGGGCTTGTCTCCCGCTGCTGAGACCCCCGCCTCGCAGCAACGCAGCGCCCCGGAGCGGAGCGTGGGTGATCTTTTTATTCAGGAGGAGGGCTCCGGCGCAGGCGGCTGCACATCCGAAGAACCGGCGAGACAGAGGAGTCACCGTAAACGAGCTCCGAGCCAGGGGAGAGGCTCCTCCTTCCACCCCGAGCAAGGCAGAGCCCCCTACATCGCCTGCACGCTGTCCCGGGGAGGAACGCGGCTCCTCCGGCCGCTCTGTGCCACGGAGGAGGGGGCTGCTTTTCTCAGGGGCCACTGACCGGCGGCCAAATGGAGGATGGGGAGCGAGGGGGGACCTTGGGGCGTTCGCCTGGCAGTGGGAGGGAAGGGGGGAGCAGGGCGGGTGGTCTCCGTTCCTCCGGGGACGCGCAGGCTGCGGCGGGGGGATGGCCTCGGGGCTCCGGGGACGAGGGCTTGGCAGGCGGGTCCCGGGGGACGCCCAGTCTCTGCCGGCGCCTTACGGACGCACTGACGAGTCAAAGCGGGGTGAATCCCACCCGGCTCAACCCCACCGAGGCCTGAACCCCCTCTCTGGACATCGGAGGGGTACTGGGGACCCCGACTGCCACCCTCCCGCCGTGCGCCCCCTCACCTGGAGGGCAGCGGGCGGAGGGGTCTCAGGCGAAGATGCTCCCAATGCTGGCAGCCAAGATGACGGCGAGGATGATGCAGCATATCATGATCATGATCTTCTTCTGCGCGGGGAGAGAGGGGCCGTGAGGCGGAGCCGCGGAGCTGGGGAGGGGGGGA